CATCTCAGCTAAGAACATACCTAGAGGAAAAAAAAAAAGTAAATATTAAAAATATAATTTAAAATTTATTCATTCATTACTTTTAGAAAGATTTATTTATTGCTGTCTCCCAAACTACCAGTATAGGAAGTCTATGTAATACCAAAACATTGTACAAACTACTACGTGTTACTGAAAGCTGTTATTAAGGCGCAAGCACCTTCCTTATGTTGAAATGCTATCTAGGAGAAGGGAAATAAGCGAATTCCTTGTGGCAAGTTAGCTAGTGTTTGTCTAAGCTTTCAGTTTTTTCTAAAGCAGCCTGGAAAGAGAAGTTTCGTTCTTAGATATAATTAGTTCTTGAAGCCAAGCCTATTACCACTGTCTTTTATGAAGGACTATATTGGCTTAATTTCAGCAAAGTAGTGATTTTTTTTTTAATCTGAGGATCTACACTGTATCAGCACAACCTCTCTCAAGTGTATCAGTTTAAAAATTAAGTTTTGTCGCACAACTCATTTGCACCTTGGCGAGTCATTAGCTTTTAGTTGACAGAAATCTAAATATTCACCAAGACCTTAGCAAAAGCAATTAAAAATTTCACCCCCTTCACATACTTTCCAGTTTTAGTACTGAAAGCAAATTTGTGGTTACTTTGCATGTACCACTAAACATTCATCTTTATATTTGTACATTTTAATCTAATGTGCCAAATAGTTCCGTTATGCCTTCTGATGTGGAAGATGACAGTGAATCTAATGAGAGAGATAAAAATCTTATATGCAACTTTTCATATCTTGTGTGCTATAAAATATGAAGATCTGCATCAACATGTAATTCATATAGGAAACAGAAAATTTCATGTTCAGTATCATAACATTCTTGTTATGATATGTTCCTTTTTCCTTCCACTAGTTCTTTCTTGAAAGGGAATTTTTCTTACCTACTATGGAGAGAATCACAACCACGAAATCAAAAATATTCCAGCCTATAGTGAAGTAGTAATGGCGAAGTGAAATCAATTTCAGGACACATTCTCCAGTGAAAAGGATAATGAACACAAGGTTAATCCGGGATAAAATTGTTTCCATTTCTTTGCTCTGGTCATCTGTTTCTACCATCATTGTGACCATGTTAAGGCAGATGAGTATCATGATGCTGATGTCAAATACTTGTTTGGTTACAAAATCAAAGACCATGCCTTGGAATTTGTTCTGCAAAGACAAAGATGGATTACATTTTGTACTCTGAAAATATTTGTCCTAACAAATGCCAAATAGGAAAGCAAGTCCCTGCAAGATTTAGGAGAGCAGAGCAAGACTCATTCACAATACATCTATTAATATATGCCAAATTCATGCTGCTTTGTGTCTCATCCTGTTAGAGTCGATCAAGAAGTGTACCACTGTTGGCTGAAGGGACAGGAAGGGAAACAATGCATTAGTAACAGTAATAACATTCATAACTGATATTATTGGTGTAAAAAGGTGGTATAATTTGATACCACCCAAAAAGAAACTCCTTTTCTTATCTTTATTCTTCGTGGGTTTTAGAATACTAACCACCAGAGATGTCTCTCTCTTCCTTAAGCTAATTGTGCTTGGTGAGATGGTTGGACCACTGAAGTTACATGTTTCAAACACACCATGACTCCAATATCCTAGTTTTCCTTTAGTACTTAGCTAAATGTTTATTGCCATATGTCTCTCCTTAGAAAGACTATTTTTAACCACTCAGTGCATCAGGTGTAACAAGTACTTTATTTTTTCCAGACACTCTAGGAGTTCAAAATAACAGAGTAGTTTCTTATCTTAGAGAGAAATTTATCCTAATTTATGCCTTACTCCCTAGGGCATTCTTTTATTCTGCAAGATTATCTGCATGTGTCTTTCTCTTTCACATTAGGTGACCACTGCCCCCTTCTGTCTTCAGCAGCAAGGGCCAGTGCATCCCCATGTCCCACAAATTCTCTGGGAGGATTAAAACCAGGAAATGTTTATCCATGGGTAACAAGAACCAATAAATGATCCAATCAACTATACTATTCTAGGACTTAGCCAGGGAATTATGAAATTTATCACATTAACTTTATTAAATCCTACAGTTCATGCTTCAGAGTGTATGTTTTTAAATGAAACACAAATGATCTTGTCCACTGAATTTAAAAAAAGGGACAAATTCTACACTTACAAGAAAATAAATCGAAAAAAATATTTTCTTTCCAGATTTATAACCTTCTCTTGATGGCTAAAATCATATTCCCAAATGAGTATTTAATATTAGCAGTATTAAAATCAAATCACTCTTACCACTGGCCTCGGTATAGGTTTCTGTGGCTTTTTGGATCCCAGTTTTTTCATTGCATTGTAATATTTCTTCTGTTCTTCTGTCATAAATATATCCTGACCTCCAAATTGAAGAAATAATACCAAAACTAATTACTATCATGTTCACACATACAACATTTAACTACAGTATGTCTCTCTGTAATATAATACTATATTTATATTGGATCTGTATAACAAAAGTGATTTTTTTGAGGTATTTATAGTGTGGATGCTCATATGCATTCCTAAGACACAAAAAACTCCCTCACTGGTGCTTTGTCAGACTGATGAGTTTTTCGAGTGTCTTCATGCTCACTTTTGCTGACATGGCTAAAATGCTTCTTACTGTACTGATGCTGTTAAATAACTTGCTGATTAGGATATGTTTAGTGCATAGGAGCCTGACGGGTGCCTTATATGGCCTAAGCTGTCTTTTAGGGTTACAGCTAGCCAGGTCTAAAAGTGGGATAACTGAGGCACAAGTTGTGTCAAGGGAGAGTATTTGGGTCTAATCTGAAGGGTGTAATGACAGCAAAAAAAATCACCTTTGATATAAATTTAAGTAATCCAAATTATGCCATAGCAAATTATTAACTAAAACACCACTGGAACCTTGACTGACTCAAATTAGCCTTTGTTTGCAGATGCAAATGCTGCCAGTCAGATTTGCAACTGACTGACTGAATTTCAGTGTAAAGTAAATTGTGCTTATTGATGAGTCTGAACTAAGTCAGATGGAAACACAATGACAAACTTACTGTGTGCTAAACTGGATACCAAAGCCCAAAGCATGGCATAATTGATAGAAACTGAAGAAGTAGCCCCAGATGTGTTTATGGCTCTTTTAAGAAGCTAAAGAATATTTTCACAAGGAAAAATTTCTGTAGTTCACAATTGATTTTACCATAGATTCTGTTTGGTACTGCTGCTTTTTTGTTTGGTGATCAGGTAAAACCAAATCATATGAAACTGCTTTTTCACAGCATACAAAGATTTAGAATGGTCCTGAGGTTCTAGTTCTTTTGGGGATTGAAGGCTAAGAATAGAGGCTTCAAAATATTTTAAATGTGATATTTTTACTTTTAGATTTTTGAAGTTATTTTAAATAAAACTACATGCATTATCAGTATGATTATTTTAAACATACTTGTATGTCAAATGTATAGAGAAAATATACCCTTCCTTTTATACCTTTGCTTTATTATTGAAAATAAATTATAGATTGTGTTTGCATCTAACAAGCTCATCTCATTTCTCACAAAAGTGTTAGAAAAATAGAACTCTTGTACACATTTTTACTTGTATCTAAGCCTATTCTTGTGAGGTCTGTTGGACTTACTCTTAACCCACTGTTTAATCAGTTTGCAGAACTATTATCTTTTGTATGAACACAACTGTATCTTCATTAATTGTCAACAATTTATAAGATTAATTAAAATTAATTATCTGAATTCTTTAAAGATAATTTAAAAAGAAACTCTTCTATGGCACATAATATTACGTCTAATCAAAAGAATAATGCACACTCCCTTTTTGCATCTTCATTTCATCTCTTACACAATTTGCACATTATTATGAACCAAGTTGTGATTTCTCCCTCTTCACTTGTCAAGATGCTGAAATGCAAATGTCAAAATCACATCCACAGGTTTAACACAGATTATTTTAAAAAAGAGATATTTTTATTCAAGGACTTGAAATAACTTTTTATTTTTATTAGCTTTACAAAAGGAAATTATTAATTCATTATAGCTAATAATTTATAGCACATTGGGAACATTTTAAATACTTATCTTCTTTTTTTGTTGATTGAAGTTGTCTATAATGACACCAATGAAAAGGTTCAAGGTAAAGAATGATCCAAATATGATAAAGATGACAAAATAGAGGTACATATACAAGTTGTCCTCATACTTAGGTTGATCTTCTACCTACAAAACATTATAAATTTTATTACCCATGAGTACACTAGATGTAAGAAAAGATATATATAATTTATGAACAGATATATGCAATCTTAGCTAGAAAAGCTATGAACTAAACTCGGTTATTAAAAAGACCCAACGTGTCCATTCCAATGAATATTTGGGAACTGGAACAGAATGATTACTCATATGGAATTTTGAAGTAAATGTGCACCCAAGTATGTTTATGCATGTACATATGTACGAAGTTCTTCATACAGAATGAAGAAACAATGTGGGACTGAGAGCAGTCATTAATACTTAAAATTTTCATAGCACAAATCTAAATATTTTATATTGTGTTCAGTATGTTTTCTTGCAACAGAATCAGTCAATTCTACTATAAGCTAAATATCCCATGAATTTTTCTGGTCTTACATGAGTGTTCTTGCATCCAGCTAAGAACAGATGCTTTTAGTAAATTTATAGTAAGTCTATGTTTTGTGAAATCCATTAAATTGAGGCAAATTTCTAAGGAGGATTTGGTTATTGTCTTAATTCTCCCGGATTCCACATCTCAAGGCCTGCACCTCTACTGCATAATGTGCTAGAGTCTAGAAATGCTGAAGTTGATGAAACAGTATGTATTACTCTGGGAGATGAATATCACTGTGTGATGACGCATATCGCTAATGTGGCTATAACTAGTTCAGGCATCTCTATTGTGCTTCTTTGTAAAGGGTAAACATAGTTTTAGTTTTGTAGTCAAATGCTAATCCCTTGAAAACTTAACAGATGATCTTCAACCTTAAAATCTAATTGCACTTAAATAGCTAGATAATGTAACTGTTCAACCTAAAGAAACAATGAAATGCACTGTTACAAATTATAAAATAAGATTAATTTATTTAATATGTAATAATTATATAATCTTAAATTAATTCATACTCATGATTACCAAAGGAAGTGGTAAAAACAAATCTTTATTTTTTTCATTAACATTAGCTTTTCCAAAAAAAGTCCAGTTAAGTTAATTTAACTTATGTGGCTAAACAGAAGAAAATGGGATTAATTTTTTCCATTACCAATTCTAAGATTCATGACGTTACATAAAAGTTCCAGATGCGTAAAATTATCTGGAAAAAATATGTATTGGTGCTGATTGTAGTTCTTAATGTTATTGTATGTGTAGCTGTTTAAGTTCTGTACTCTATATCAGAGTATAACCAACAGATGATCTTTGAAAGGCTTACACTTACATTTCGTGAATCAACAGCAGCATACATAATATCCATCCATCCTTTGAAAGTAGCCTAGAAATAAAATACAGTTGTTTATCTTCCCTGTAAAAATTCATAATGTAGAAAATAACCAGGTCACAGCATTTGGACATTAACTTTTAATAAAATAATATCTAAATTTATAATCCACATTCAATAACACGGGCATAATAAAATATTTTTCAAAGTAATACTAGGGGTTTTTTTAGAAATTATTTTTTAGGAAATAAAAAAGTATTAAAAATCGGACTCTGAAGGTCTTAGCAAGGGCACAGTGTGTTTGGAGCTACAGATGCTTACTTTGCAGATGAAGAATGGTAGACTCAGATAGACATGAGTGCTGGAGATTTTCAGGTAGAATCTACTAGAATCACTCGTGTTGACAGCCATTTTATCAAGTTTACAGCATGAATTGGTGGAGTCGGCAATACAACTTCTGGACAGATACCAACATGCATCTGAATGTTTTTGCCATGGCTAAACTGCCATGATATTTTTAGAAATGTTTTAATCCCACATAACTGAAAGGAGTAGACTCCGTTCTCTGTTCAAAATCAAATTATACGTTGGTTCTTGAGGTATAAGACTTACAGAAGACCAAAACATGAACTATGAAAGAGCTGTGATTAACTTGTATAAAACTTTGGGCTGAGTTCCTATAGAGACTTTGTTTAGGTAGAATAAAGAGTAAAAAAGATCTGTCATCATTGCTCTAAGGAGGTGATTTTCATGGACATAGAATGTCCACTTTCTAAGAAACACCTAAGGTTTGATGTGACATGCTACTTGAAGGTGTGAGTGCCTGCTCATTAGCTAGGGTTTCCAAATTTATTCACAATAAAGAACAAAAGAGCTAAAAAGCCTGTGAAATGAAAGGATAAAGAGCATCTCTCCTGAGAAGATTCAGGAGAGGAAACATCTCAAGGAGTATATTTGCATCTGTGCTTGCCAGAAGTAGCTCTGGTACTTTGGTACAGCTGCTAATTTTCACAGCAGAAAACTTGCACTCTGGGAGTGTTCATGTCCTCCTGAATCTTGTAGTGCATTACAAATTTACTAAGAAGGTGTGTTTGGAGCCAGGCTTCATAGATCTTTCTGGCTCAGTTGACAACTGACAGCCATTTGCTGCACTTTGCATAGCAATATTAGAAGAGGAACAGTTTGGTAAGAGCAATAAATACAGGAGGAGAGTGGAATGAGAATGTTAATGGAGACAATCAGCTGAAGAAGTGACATGAAACATGCTCAAGGATCACTTAATCTCTGCAGGAAAAGTAAAGGGCACAAGGGAGTATTTGGAAAGGAAAGTAGTGAAAAAATCAGAACAAAAAGAAATAAAGAGAAGAACGAAAGGTCCACACTAGTGATGTAGCAATTAAAGACCAACACTGTCTGGATGGGTGACATGGATGACAATCAGAGACAGCTTCAAGAGACTAGAGGTTTTCCTTATATATCTTCAGAGGCAAGTATTGGTAATAAGATGGTTCACTCTAATCTCTAGTACAAGGGTAGCAATGAGATAAGTCAGAGAATTAGAATTATCATTCAGTACTACTACTCAGCACATGAGAGTCACACTGCCTCTAGAGGCAAAACATTTTAAGCCAGGCAGTTAATTTGGGAATTAAGGTCAGCTAGGGATACTGACCTGCTCCAGGATAGAAGAGACGAGGATATCATTTTTAGATAACTTGGTGATATCAAAGCAGTAACAATCCCATGACATTTCTGACATATTTTCATACAGCGAAGCTATATGTCAAGTTATAGACAAGTGATTCTACTGAGCTCAATCACCTAAACATAATTGCTTGCTTTCTTGTTGTGTTGTGGTATCATCTATCAGAAGCTCCATTCTAAGCCAAGGAGCCTGAAAAGAGCTAAGGTCTTTATTCCTCTGGCATAAATGAAAGGTGTGCTCAGTACCTAGAACAAAGATGTTTCTGTACCACAGTGCAGAGGAAAAGGAGTTTAAGGGGAAATACAGTTTACAGACTTTGCATAAATCTCAGTAATTCATAGAATGAATATGCCATGCAATACAACATCATCTAATAATTCACAAGGATAATACTATAAGTAACATAATATTTATTTAGTATATTATAAGGACTCTTTACCAAGCATTAATGGAATATGACAATTATAAATCATGAGTGTTGTTTGTGAGAGAAGTATTTTACGTTTTCCTATTTTACCCAGTTTAATGTCTCTGTAGTTTCATGTACTTCTTAATTAAATATATTTATTTTAGTAGCAAGTGCTGATTATCTGCAAACATCAAGAGAAAGTGTTATAGGATTAATCAGACCTACTACTCAATTGGGATCTGTCTATCATTAACTACCCACATTAGTCCCATGGACAGCTCCTACTTCTCTCAGAGGATTTCAGGCCTCTTACACAAGTGTTATGATAATAGAGAAAGAACTGGCTCCATGCTACATGAAACATTGGGTGCCCAATCTCAGATCTTGCATTATTTATGATTCCTTTCCCTAAACCCACTTCCAGGTCTGGAAAATCAAGGCCCTATTAAACAAATACCTGCACTGGAGACACCAGGTTGATATATTTTTATTTTTACCATCTAACTTACAAACTGGCTCCTTAGATGAGTACAGACATAAGGAAAAATACACTCTTCCTTGACCATGCTGTTGACAAAAGAAAAATTATTTCACAGTGCCAAAAGTGCCAAGATTAATGGATTTTGACTGTGAAAGAACGTTGCTGTGGATGTGTAATGATACCTAGGAAGAGATTATGTGGTAGGTACTGGCAGTAGTTGCTCACTTCAGACTGGACAGGCAGTTAAGAAGTCTGCCCTCTTTTAAGCTGCTAGCTGCCTCCCTGTCTTACAAGGTAACTGAGCTCATAAAGGAGAAGAGAGACCTGGTTTATAATTAGAGGGACCTCTGAGCCTTGTCCACCATGGCAAGACTCAGGAAATGCAGTCTTGAAGTTTATATTGTACACCACTAAAAGGATTCTTGTACCTTTTTCACTTACTATTTTCACATTATCATCACCATAAGACTGCATTTCCTAGGCTCGGAATGGAAAGTTACTCTTTTATCATAAATACAAAAATTACAGGTAACAATGCAATAGAGTTGTGTAAGCTATACATCATTGCTATGAAGAAATTATTCCACTACTTAACAGTCTTAACTTGCCCATTTTTTCTAGACTTCCTTAAAAAGAGCAAAAAAGAAAATATATAAATTTACTTACTACTTGAAGCAGAGCAAGATATCCAGCTCCTACATTATCAAAGTTTACTTTCACATTTTTCCATCGGGCACTTTGATTGTTTTTTATGAGTTCCTCACACTGAGTATAGTTGTTGACATCACTGACATCAAACATCTCACCAGTTGTAGTGTTTACACAGTGATAGAATTTGCCAGCAAACAGATTTACTCCCATGATGCTGAAGATGAGCCAGAATATAAGACAAACCAGCAATACATTCATGATAGATGGAATTGCTCCTACAAGGGCATTTACAACCACCTAGTGTACAAATTAGACAAAATAGCCACTTAGTTTATGAACAGAAAAATAAAAATACTTTTAAAATGTTAAAACAGTATTAATATGAAACGGACAGTTAAAATACTACATTAAAATTTATGGGGGAAGCATTATTTAAAGTTCAATAAAAACAATAATGAGATTGCAAAAAGCAAAAAATAAAATAATATGGATACTAAGATAATGCAAAAGTCTGGGAAAAAAAAAAAAAAAGCAAATGAAAACCTGTTAGTAGCAAGATGGATTCTTAGAATTTGTGTGCTCTAGAGAAAAAGAGAGAAATAAATGTTAAATTCCAACAATACAAATCAAAATCTATAAATAGAAAATAAACCAGAAAAAGATCAAGCAATGATGATGTGGAAGATTGAATAAAAATGTCTGCATGTAAAATTATCATAACTAATTATTTTATGCTCAAAACTTTATGTATATATTGACACCAGTGTATTTTAGCATCTACATACAACGTAACATAATTAAGCATATCTTACTTAGTTTTTATTAAGAGCATCTGCTATAAGTCTTGGTTTTAAATTGCCTGGCTCACTGTAGTTGCTCTTACACTTACCCATTAGGTTTGTTTTTTTAACTGGCTGCATTTAATACAGTTGACCTACTCTATATGAGCAAGTCTCTCTATGAATGGGGTTAAATCCAGTTGGCAGCTTGTCACATGTGGTGTTCCCCAGGGCTCAGTACTGGGGCCAGTCTTGTTTAATATCTTTATCGATGATCTGGATGAGGGGATTGAGTCCTCCCTGAGTGAGTTTGTAGATGACACCAAGTTGGGTGGAAGTGTTGATCTGCTCAAGGGCAGGAAGGCTTTGCAGAGGGCTCTGGACAGGCTGGATTGATGGGCCAAGGCCAACTGTATGAGGTTTAACAAGGCCAAGTGCCAGGTCCTGCACTTGGGTCACCACAACCCCATGCAGCGCTACAGGCTTGGGGGTGAGTGGCTGCGAAGCTGCCTGGCAGAAAAGGACCTGGGGGTGCTGGTCAACAGCCGTCTGAACATGAGTCAGCAGTGTGCTCAGGTGGCCAAGAAGGCCAACAGCATCTTGGCCTGTATCAGAAAGTGTGTCCAGCAGGACTAGGGAGGTGATCGTGGCCCTGTACTCAGCACTGGTGAGGCTGCATCTGGAATGCTGTGTGCAGTTTTGGGCCCCTCACTACAAGAAAGACACTGAGGTGCTGAAGCGTTTCCAGAGAAGGGCAACGAAGCTGATGAAGGGTCTGGAGAACAGGTCTTAAGAGGAGTGTCTGAGGCAACTGGGGTTGTTTAGACTGCAGAAGAGAAGGCTGAGAGAAGACCTTGTTGCTCTCTACAACTGCCTGAAAGGAGGTTGTAGTGAGGTCGAGATCGGTCTTTTTCCCAAGTAACTAGCTATAGGAGAAGAGGAAATGGCCTCAAGCTGGGCCAAGGGAGGTTTAGATTGGACATCAGGAAAAATTTCTTTACTGAAAGAGTGGTCAAGCATTGGAACAGGCTGCCCAGGGAGGTGATGGAGTCACCATCCCTGGAGGTGTTTAAAAGATGTGTTGATGTAGCACTTCAGGACATGGTTTAGTGGGCATGGTGGTGTTGAGTCAACTTGATGATCTTAGAGGTCTCTTCCAACCTAATGATTCTATGATTCTCTAAGTGACAGTAAAAGATCAGATGAAATCCTTTGACAAAAATTTTCTTTTACTTATTGTGATGGATCTAAAAGAAAGCTGCAGATATTTAGATAATAATTTTCTATCAAATCAGTAGAGACTGCAGTAGTTTTTTGTGTATGGTTTTGAAAATAGTAATATTTTTCAATTCACTAATTTGGCTGAAAGTAGTCTAAGATCAATAGAGGTTTTGCCCATCTATTAGGGACTTCATACGTTGTTTGCAATACAAATAATGTAAAACCTAGTGGTGATGGTGATTTGCCGCAGGACACACTCGCTTACACTGGCTAGTGTGGCCACCTCTAGAATATCAGCAGCCTCAACCCAAACAGGAAACATGCTATGTATTTGGAAACTTAAGACCTATGACCAAACTATAAACGTGTATTGCAGCATCTGGGTATTTTGAGGTGAAAGATTAAAAGGCGATTTCTCATTACCTTGTTAATTTTAACATTAATGTTAACATTACATTGTTAGTTTTTTATGCATCAGTTTTTCTGGGAAATAGCATAGACTGAATTTTCAGCAAACAGCTTGTAATAGTTTTAGGGTTTTTTTTTTCTGCCAGATTGGCAGAATATGAAAATAATAATTTCTTCAACAGGAAGGATTTAGCTGTGTAGGAGGAGAGGTAAGATGGCAGCAGATGCATTCATATGAAATAAAGGACACTAGCTGAGAAAATTATTTCTCATCCTTCCCCTTCTATACTTCCAGCCCCATCCGTATTTCGGATATCTGTTCAGAGAACCTTTCCCTAATACTACAGCATTTATTGTGTTTTTTTTTTTTTCCCCAGGCAGGTCGACAGGGAGCCACAGGGAGGCTTTAGTTTCTGGTGTGTCACTCCTGTCAGCTTCTTCACCTTTTTTAATTTTGTATTGTTTTCCAGCTAATCCTGTTCCATCCTGAACCACTGACAAGCTAACAGAGAACAGAAGTTAGCTATGGAAATTTATAAAATAAAGTCCCCAGCTAAACTGGACAAAAAAACCCCCAACACTCTCTGTTTTAAAATTTCTCATGTCCTTTTACTTTTCTGTATAGGTCCACAAATCAATGGAAATTTTAACAGCCAGGGGGCCAGGACAGCACAACTATGCAGCAGTGAACAGGCAGATTTAAAGAGCTCAGGGTCTAATATCCAAATGTAAGCTGGATACATGTCTTGTGTATAAGGACATGTTGGAAGGCCTTTTTCCACACATTTTTACATGCATTCCCATTCTGGAGTTCTTTGCAGAAGGCATGCATGTCATACTTCTACACTGATTTTTGTATGCATACATTCATTCAGACTTATTCATTTTATCTCACCCTCATTCCTTCAAATCGTGACAAGGCTCTTAGAGGTCTTAAAGCTCTTAATGTCCGAAGCGATTTAATGGCACCAAGTTCAGAATAGCCCAAAGCATTGGCTATTAAACTAACCAATGAGACCTATAAAAATACAGAAAAAATATTATTATGAAAATTGTTCTGCAACGTTTATTTAAAAACAATACAGATTCAGGCAACAGAAAGACCAACAGTGACAAATGGAAAAACACTATTCTTGCTTAAAGTGACATTGGAGGCCCAGTCACACAATTTTCATACTTGCTGGAAAGGCAAGAGGTCACATGAAGGCATGTTTGAAAAAAGAATCTATGCTATTAAATGTCTATTATAGCTGAATAGGGTTTAGCAGTCATATGGAAGCACACTGTTGGTGAAGGATAAAATTTTCAGAAATATTGAAAGACAAAATATCCGTACTTTCAGTAACTTCATTAAGGTTCAAACTTATAAGCAATTTAAAATTCTGAATACATTAGGATAGATATTAATAATATTGGCAGTAGTTAATAAACTATAATCACTGGTAATAAATGATGTAGTGGTTGATTATCTTTTGTTACAAATATTATTTCTAAGTCACTCAGTTCATAGCAACAAGAGCAAGGGCATCTATGAAATATATATTGACAGAGGTGGTATTTTCTCACTTGCCTGACAACTCTCAATAATTTTTTTTGTCTTCTAAGTATATAAAATATTATGGCATATATATTAACAAATCCTTGCATTATAACAGTAAATGCTTTATTATCCACAGAAGTAGTGAGCTTCACATTACTGGGATTTTATTACAAGCCAATCCACTTCAGGAAGGAGCAACTAATTTGCTTCACAAATGGAACTGAGTTTTAAACACTGTTGATGTGAAAGAATTTAACTTACTTACTTTGAGCAGTTTTGGAGAGAGGAGTGGGGAAATACCATACCTTACTCATATTTGATTCAGTTCTACCCCAAAAGCATATAAGACACATAAATGAACATAGGCATATTTCAGTCCTTGAAAAATTCCCTTAAATGTTCATTTCTGTACCTCAATCTAGAGAGTTATTAAAATAATTCACTGTACAGAAATAAGCATTCACTGATAATGGTGGCAAGACTTTGCCCGTTATATGAAAAGGTGGTTTCCTATGTTACTTGTATCCATAGACTTATAAAATCATGTCTCAAAAGGACAATCAATAGAAATCAATTATTTATTACTATGTTGCTATGTATGTTAATTTCACAGAAAATAGTATTTTAGCGAATTCGTATCACTACACCTTTCAACTAGATTTCATGTCAGGATGTAATGCTTTTTATCAAAGGAAAAGCTTATTTTATTGCTGTAGTGGATAAGTTTGTAAAGGAACTTGCTGTGATTTATAAGCATGTTAAGAAGAAAATCGTACTGATTTTGTGTGGTCTGCAGCTGAAGTCTGTTCACTTACAGGAGATAACATTATTGTTTCTGCTATTACATTAATTATTGTCATTAATTGTTATTAATAATTGTCATTAATACAATTTATCTGTACTGTGATTCTACAGTGAGAGACTTCCGTTTTATCCTTAGCCACTCTTATATTCCAGAGATAACAAGACATGGATTTCTCTGTATTTTTAATAGAATATTCATTGATTCACGCACATCAACAAGATACCCAGACATGACAATAAACTTTAGTGCAAAGACAGCACATTTTATGGATTAAAAATAAACTGTGAAATATGTATTAAAAAAAAGACAATCTCTCACTGGGAGAGCAAGACATCTTACCTTAATGGTGCCTTCCTTTTATACTTTTCTGCCCAAACTAGTACTGTGCCTTAGCTATCTTTCACAAGCAGGTTACAGTCCATACAAGCTAATTACATAGCTGTAGCTCCTGTAACTTCAGTGGCACTGTGTATATTGGCAGTTTTTAGGTTCTGATCATAAGTCATTCTCCAACCTAATTTGTGCTTTCCGTTTCAACCTATTTGCAGCTTTCTTACCACAGTGCTAGTGCTCTTACATCATAAACTTGAAGTTGTTTCACAGAGAAATACTTCATCTATTGTAAACAACAAGTTTTCCTCTGAAGGACAGTTCAAATGAGAGGCAAAGATTTGCTTGGAATTCTTTGATATTAATTTTATTGTATATACAGCATAAGTGTAGACGGCTGTTCTGTATTGCTCTGGTTTTCTCAGTCTTAGCCTGATCTTCTGTCATCTGTTCCACCTGTTTTGTTGCTAGTAGGTGAGAAAATAAATGTCCCTGTACACTGATAAGTAGATTAATTTATTTCTTTTGGGATAGGAATGCATGCAGATGCATTAATTTTAAGAAATTAAAATGAACTCAAAGTGGTGGAAAGAATTTTTACATTCATCTTCTAAAACTGGAGGGTTGTATGTCCATATTTTTGTGTACAGACTTTCTAATGTAGACTATCTGTTGCAAAAAATGTTTTGAAACTTAGCAGACACAATTAGCCCTGCTCAGGATCTTCAGTCAGGGTTGTCATCTGAGACAGATTGTTGGTCATACAGCTCCACTTGACTTTGTTTCTATTTAGGCCTAAAATTTTAGTCCATATGAGTTCTGTGCTACTTGGTGAGGTGGCTAATTTATATGATTTGATTTCAGGTCTTCAGTGGCATATGACCCTCCTCACTTCCAGCACTGCTTATCCTATCTTTCATGTAGTTTAAGTGTTCAGATATTACACTTAACTAGGAATAAAAATTAACTCCAAAATTTGGGAAAAAAAAGTCCAAATATTTTTCTTTCTATTGAGAAGTTAATAATTTTTTCTTGTTTTTTGCAAGATAGTTACTATATTATTGATTTTCCAGGTAGGCATTTTTGACACTCTTGGAGACAGGACACTGGACACAATGTAGCCTTTCTTATGCCTTATGTAGCTTTTCTTGTGTCATGGTCCTATGCTAAGATAATATCATTTTTGCTATATGTACTTGATGAATTTATGGTATTTTACTGGCAAGTACTCAAAATTTATTTTGTTTAGATGCATAGTTGCAAGCTATGATTCTGTTCCCTTACTGGCTGAACAACAGCCTGAGGTTTCATGCGTATATGACCTGAATATCCCTTTCAATTAATTAGTTCATTTCATGAAATTCAGGATTATCCAATGTTATCATTCTATGATTCTGTGATCATAGTGTACCATGTTAGGATACACATAAATACATATAAGACTGTCTAGGAAGACAAAGTGACATCTCTTTCTGTATCTGGTTTCCCAACACATCAATATGCTCATCTTCTTATTTCTTATTTTTATTATGAAGTTGTCAGAGCAGCAGTTGCCTCTTACTCTGTGCATACAGCATTTAGTATATTAGTAGAATGTGACCCTGACCTTTCCCAGGATGTTGCAGCTGAGTTAATTATTCTGAAAAGCTAATAAAGAAGTTGAGAACATAGTTTAATTACATTACTTCAACTGTTTTAACAAAAAGCATGAAGCATTTTTAGCTATATGAAGAAATATTATATAAGCCATCAATATTACCACCTTTTAATGTACTATACAACAATCCAAATTGAAGGGTTGTTTTGCTATGTTTAATTTTTCAAAAACTGAACCCATTGGAACTTTATCAGGCATGAGCAATTTCAGGAAGGTCAAAGATTTCATTCCACTTACAGATTCATTACTGCCCCACAGTATTTGGCAAATACATGATTTGTTTTAAATTTCCATTTCATTCAAGTACAATTTATTAACATAATAATTTAGAAATAAAATGTCTATACCAAATTATAGCACTGACATATAATGTTTAAAAATTCACAGCATAAAATGCTATCCACTTAAGATTATCTAAGATTCCTTATTGTAGCAGAAAACTACACATAAAAAATTAATAACTGACAAACTCATTGGATATTCCCAATCTCCTTCCCTGATATCCTATCTCCAAGCTTTGTATGTGGCAAAGACAATTTACAGTCGTTACAGCTGTACCTCAAAACCTAGACATAATAAACTCATGACAGATGTCTTCTGGAAAAAGAGGTAAGAGCAAAAACCAAGGTACAGGATGACATGCTCTACAGCATCTGGTTGTACTGGGTTGAGATATTGCTGTCTCAAGCCTTTAGTGGGTATCCCTGCCAGAATTAGTCTTCCCCAAAAAAGTGATATGTCCCTGCTTCTCAGCTGCCTCCATCCAAAATTCAGTCCCTTCACTTAAACCACTGATAAATGTGTCTGAACTAATTGAACAGATTGTGATTTAGGGTAGATAAGGCACTCCACTCAAATATTTGCCCCTTGCTGCAGATATTCTTGCGTTTAGCAGAAGAATGTGGCAGAGAGGTGGCATGATAAGGTCTTAAACTGAGGTAGCCAGATGTACCAAGAGTCCTCTGTCATGGCCGAAAGCTGACAGAGCTGAAAATTGCCATTTCTTTTTGTTATTATTAAAATCTAATTTGGTCACAATTACCAAGAACAACTATGGCTATTTCTCACAGTGACAGACTCAGGTATGGAAGATATTAAAGGTCAAAGCCCTAAAGGACTATCAGTGATGATTCTTGAATAATTTTAGAGGATGGAATTATTCAATTTGATTAACTTTTGTAATTTCTAATGAAGAAGGGCTTGCTGGTGTTCTCACTGGGAGAATGCCACTGAATCACTCCTGTTTAAACTGCCTGTTAAAGCAGTGTACATTCTCTCCTTTTCTATGGGAAGATAACATGAGTTCATATATTTCTTTCAAATGCTGTCTGGTGGTGCTAAAGGAATTGCTGAATTAGCCTTTGGCATAGTAAGACATTTTTTACCACTTTCTGGAACACTGAATACAATTCTTCAAAAGTAGGTTCCAATCTGATTTAGTCATGCTTTTGTTTACCAAACTAAAAATTATGGGTAAAAAGTTGGAAAAATAAGCTCCTTTACTTATGATGATGTTCTTTATAATTCTGAGAGCCTGCTCATATAACAGCATCTCTGAGGCTAAACTATTGTTAAGAAACCATGGAGTATGGCTTAGAATAATCTGTTTAGGTTTATGTGACAAAAAAAAATAATTAAAACATGAGTTGTAGTTTATCTAAAAAAAATCCATTCTTATCATAATCCTGAAAGGGAGCATCTGTCTTCTGCATTAACATCTTCTTAAGAAAACCATTTGCACTGCTCCATTCTAGAGTAGATTTTCAGCACAGAGCTAGAGATTAACAGTATAACAAAACTAACTTGGGCAGGTTTAAAAAAAGAGAAGGTCTTCCATTTTGAGTTATGGGCCAATCTAGCTGGGTCACAAATCCAGTACATTTCTATTATATATTCATAAGAAATAAGTATTTATGGGACCAGGATTTATGCAAACTTCCCAAGAAATACCTTACCTTGGGCAGAATTACTATAAACGCACGTTTGCCCTGAGATGCCATCTCTTAGTTCCACACTGAGGACATGTATAGCCAATGAACTGGGTCAGATAATGTGTGAAGGCAAGAGACCAAAATATTCTGGGAATAAAACCAGCTTTGATCCCTTCTGACAACATAAGCAAGGCCTTTGCACAGGAGTATATCACAGCCGGGAAAGCAGCCAAGAAACCTTCTATTCCCTTCTATCATAAACCCTGCCAAGTCATAGCTGATTTAACTATGCAGATTGTCAGCCCATTAAAACTAATTAATTTTTAGACCAAATAGCCTCTGTCTGTTTTACTAAACATGGTAACAGGATAGTTTTGAGGGACAAAGTACTGAGAACTCAGATTAAATCTGTACCAAATGTATTGTTTCACTTGCAAAGCTGTGATGTTTGTAGAGGAAACTTGCACAACGTAGTGTCTTGTTTGCTACGGAATGGCTGGATGGTCACACTCAAAAGAGTCACGGTCAACAGCTCAATGTCCGAGTGGAGATAGTGATGAGTGGTGTTCATAAAGAGTCGGTGTTGGGACCAGTGCTGTTTAACATCTTTGTCGGTGATATGGACAGTGGGATTGAGTGCACCCTCAGCAAGTTTGCCAAACAACACCAAGCTGTGTGGTGCAGCCAACACGCTGGAGGGAAGGGAGGCCATGCAGAGGGACCTGGACAGGCTGGAGAGGTGGGCCCATGCAAATCTCATGAACTTCAACAAGGCCAAGTGCAAGGTCCTGCACCTGGGTTGGGGCAATCCCAAGCACAGATACAGGCTGGGTGATGAGTGGATCGAGAGCAGCCCTGGGGAGAAGGACTTGGGGGTGTTGGTGGATGAAAAACTGAACATGAGCTGGCAGTGTGCTCTCGCAGTCCAGAAAGCCAACCTCATCCTGGGCTGCATCAAAAGCAGCGTGGCCAGCAGGTCGGGGGAGGTGATTCTCCCCCTCTGTTCTGCTCTGGTGAGACACCACCTGCAGTGCTGTGTCCTGCTCTGGGACCCCCAGCAGAAGAAAGGCATGGACCTGCTCAAGCAGGTCCAGAAGAGGGCCACAAAGATGACCAGAGGGCTGGAGCACCTCCCTGTGAGGACAGGCTGAGAGAGTTGGAGTTGTTCAGCCTGCAGAAGAGAAGGCTTCGGGGAGACCTTCTAGCGGCCTTCCAGTACTTAAAGGGGGCCTACAGGAAAGGTGGGGGGGGACACTTGCTCCGAGAGGGCA